GCCCGTCTTACACTGCGCCCGTCTTACACTGTGCCCGTCTTACACTGTGCCTGTCTTACAATGTGCCTGTCTTACAATGTGCCTGTCTTACACTGTGCCCGTCTTACACTGTGCCCGTCTTACACTGCTAACTTGTGTATAATTTTCTTCTTTCAGGTGTTCCCTCACAGCGAGTCCTCCTCCATCTGTTCTCACTCCAACAACCTCCATGTCCTCTCTAAATTATTTAGAACGTTCTCAGAAATTGTTTTTATTTTTTCTGTAACTTTAAAAATGTAGAAGTCGTAGAAATCGTCTTTTTCTCCAGAACAACCCATTTCTTAAGCAACGTGTCTGCAGACTTTAGATGCTGTCTTCATTGATTATTGCGACGTATCTTTGGAAAGTTTCACCTGCAGACATACATTTTTTCCTCGTGTCAGAAATAAACAAGAGAAGAAGAAGTGTCCATAAAGGCACCAAAGAGCTGCTGCAGGGCGGAGCAAACAGACAAAGTTTGGTTTTAAGCTTGGACAGACTGTTGAAGTGGCTGTCCACAGTGTGGACTTTGTCCAGGACCAGACCTTCACCCCCGTGGAGTTACCAAGGGGGTCCTCAGTTTACGTCTTTTGTGAGCCTGTGATCCCCAGGGCGTTCTGTAGGGGGTGCTACAGGAGTATTGGGTAACTGCAATACTCTCAAGGGCTATCGATGAACAGTGTCCACATTCTCTGCTCCAAGTGGAGCTTGTTCTCGGTGCAGGATGGACTCCTCCAGGACCGTCCCTTGCCTCCGATCCCGTTTGTGGTCTTCATGGTTCTGTTCATGACTTAGGGCAGTGGGTCCTGACCCTTCTACTGGCTTCTGCAGAACTTGAGGGAGTCATTAAATCACTGAGTCAGGTGTGAGGGCCTGAAGGCGTCTGTGTGTGGCGCACTGACCTGGACTTGCTGCGAGCTTCACTGATGTCTCGACTCCTCTCCCGCTCCTTGGTCCTCTCACGTTCTCGATCTCTGTCTTTTTCCCGCTCCTTTTCTTTCTCCCGTTCCCTCTCCCTCTCCTTCTCCTTCTCGCGGTCGCGGCGCTCCCTCTCTCGCTCTCGCTCCTTGTCCCTCTCCCTCCTCTCCTTCTCCAGCTCCAGTCGTTCCTTTTCTTTCTTTCCTTTCTCCTCTTCCAGTTTCTGCAGGAGTCCAGCAGAAGGAACATTAAGAAGGAAAACATTAAACATAGTGTTTACCTATAACCTTGTTATTTAAGGAGACAACATTTTTAATAATCACGTTAAAAGTTACGTTGTCTTTGGTGCCTGTTTGTTTTCTAAATATATTAGTGTGCGTGAATGACAGGGATCAACTAAAAACACTTTGTAGAACGGTGCTTTATCAAGTTCAGTCCATTTCCTTGTATTAGTTGACCGGCAGATCTGCCACATCCAATATGGCGGACTCTCCAACGCCGCTGCAACGGGCCAACGAGGCATCTACATTATGTATGTCTATGGGTGGAGACGAAGACACGTCTGTGTTGTGCGCAGTTTGTACCAACTTAACTTTGTTGGATTTTATCAGGATTATGAACTTTGATGTTTTTGTACCAACAGTTTTCCGAGCCGGGGGGCGGGGCTCAGCGTGAATAAAACAGGGCGCTAACTGTACCTTTTAAGCTAGCGCATCTGTATCGAGCGCCACTAGTTTAGTGCTACGTTAGTACCGGCAGTTTTTTTCGGTAAGCAGGACGCTCGAGTGTTGACAGCGCCCTGCTTGGGTAATAGTAGGGGAAACACTGAGGTATGAATATTGTTCTAGACACTGTAAACAGTGACAACCCACAGAGACGGAGAGATGTAAATGAACAAGAACCATCTTCTGTTTGTGATTAGAGTAAAATCTGTTGACTTCAAATGACCTTTACACACAAACGATGCGAGATTGAAGCCAAAACGTTTGTTCAGCCTTTCGGATGAGAGTTGAAAGCTTCAGGAATGAAGAGAAGTCCATTCAAACGTCACCGGACTGTGGAGCTTTTCACAAACTGCTAGAAGCTACTGTCTGCTGTCCAGTGTCCCACAAACTAAATACCAGTAATAAAATATTCTGTTGATCAAAATAATTCTGATTTTTTTTCTTCCTTAAACTTCTCCAACTACCCTAAATAGAGTTTCACAAGTAGTGCACTAATAAAAGTTGCACTTCAAAAAAAAACAAATGGTCGTGTGAGATGATCGCTGGTCTAAACGTTCAGAATTCTAAGCTTTCAACTAAATTTGTGAATTGTCTAGCAAATTACCATCTCCAAGAACTGCCCAGTTATGCCCATTTTCCACCACTGTTACTCAGCCCCAACTCTGCTCAGCCCGCCACGGAAAGATCCCCGTTCCACCAGTGAAACCAGTTTCATGATATATATATATATATATATATATATATATATATATATACTGATGATTAGCTTTATTTGGAATTTAACTTTTCAATTGTTTCTTTTAACGTTTCATTTTTCCAACTTGGTCGTGTTTTGACTGAATACTACAGTTGACAGTAATTTAAGTGATGAAAGTGTTTTAAGTGACGAACCGCTTCCTGTAGGATGTTTTTTCAAAATAAAACAACAATAATTTAGAGTCTGATACCATACCTTGTGTGTGTCCCTGAATTTATTGATCTCTCTGGAAATCAGGTCTCGCTTGTCATCTTCCAGCTCCATGGCATTGATATCCTGACAACAAGGACACCATTAAACATACCAAGTACACAACCATTACTACCAAGTACACAACCATTACTACCAATAAACAACCATTACTACCAATTAACAACCATTAATACCAACAAACTACCATTAATACCAACAAACTGTTAGAGAAAGAACATTAATGAAACGTTCAGGATTGGACGTGCTTCATTTTAAAATATAGAATGGGTAAAAGTCAAGTCACTTCTACAGACACTGAGCTACAATTAGAGGTGGTAGTATGTGTGAGTCATCCCCAACACATACTCTGAGTGTGACATCTCATAATGATGACCCAAACAGCCACACCTCCATCATTTCTCAACGTAAGATGATTTAAGTTCAACCTTCAGGTGATAAGCATTCCTTCATGTATGGGGTCTTTGATTTAATTTGAATTTTGCAAAAATTACCTCGTCTTTCTTATCTTTTCTCTTCTTGTTACGAGACTGACCGTCATCATCCTGGGAAGGAGCATTTAGCTCATTTGCGTACTCTCGAATAAGAACATCTATCGCCCCGTTCACGACCTGGTCCCGACGCAGGGTTTCGTCATCGAGAACCTCCTCTTCGCCGCCTCCTTCATTTTTTGACACGTCTATGGTTCCCTTCATGCCAAAGGCGGAAAAGAACTCTGAGTGACACAAACATTCGGTGTGGGTTTGAACTCAGCAGCAGAACATCATACCCCGTTGGCACTCCTCTTCTTGGCCTTCCACTCGTCCAGCTGGGCCTTGGTCTTGGCGTCCACCTTCACCAACAACTTCTTGTCACCTAAGAGCAGCTCGTGTAGAAGTCTGAGAGCTCGCAGTGTCGACTCAGGCTCCTTATATTCACAGAACCCAAAAGCTACAGGCATTAAAACAAAAGTAGGATTAATTAGTTTACTATGTATTGCAAATATTTAAAAAGGACATTCTTATATATATATACAGTATATTAATCATGCCAGGGCAGCCTCTCATTGGGGGCAGCATGCCAGGGTTATCTTTCAATTGCTCCCTAAATGTTTTCAATTTCTTATTTACATACATAACTCTCTTCCAGCTTGTCTCCGTCTCCAACTAATCTAAAACTAGTCTCCAATTTTCTTCCAACTAATTTCCAACTAGTCTCCCAACTCTCTTCCAACTAATCTAAAACTAGTCTCCAATTTTCTTCCAACTAATTTCCAACTCGTCTGCAGGACTCTTCCAACTAGTCTCCAACTAGTCTCCAACTGTTTCCAATTAGTCTCCAACTCTCTTCCATATAGCCTCCAACTCTTTTCCAGCTAGTCTCCAAATGTGTCCAACTACCGTAATCTCCAACTTTCTTCCAACTAATCTCCAACTCTCTTCCATATAGCCTTCAACTATTTCCAACTCTTTTCCAACTAGTGTCCAACTCTCTTCCAACTAGTCTCCAACTTTCTTCCAACTAATCTCCAATTCTTTTCCATATAGCCTCCAACTATTTCCAACTCTCTTCCAGCTAGTCTCCAAATGTGTCCAACTACCGTAATCTCCAACTCT